AAATGGAGAAGAGATGATATGAGAGATACTTTTTCTTTTAAAGAAGTAACTTTCCACAGCCTTATTCTTGAACTGGGCTGAAGGGTTTTCTGGTTTCCTCCAGAGTATAAGGCCGACTCAAGAATTTGAAGGTCAAAACAAGTCCCTTAAATCTAGAGTACGTTTGACCCTAATGATATGGGATACTTTTGTTGTCGGCAAAGTAGTGGGTATGGTATGGTGAGGCTTTACTCTTTGGCGATGGTGTCAGCGAAAGGTTGTTGAAGCTTTTCGAATTCTTCGAATAGGGCAGCGATGCTGGGTTTGGATTTGATTTAGACTCCTCTGTCTGGGTTGTATGGTTCTGTAAGAAGGGCATCGTGCTATAGTGACCTGTTCCAGCTCATCATTGATCATTTTGCTTCAATCTTTTACAACATTTGTCCCCGATGCTGGAGTGGAATGCAACCTTTACATTTAAATGGTCCTTCAGAGCACTACTTCTAAGCGACTCATCCATGCGTGGCAGCTTCAGTGTAAAGCATCAATATCATATCAACTGTTCTAAGGTATTTGCGGAAGAACTTCGTGACCTTGACAACAATTAAGGATGAGTACTCAAGAGCAATGTTAGGCAAACAACCATGCAAAGATTCTGGGCAATCAGTTCCAGATCAGAAGTTTGATTTCAGGTTCCGACTGATTGCGTTTTTTCCCCTTGTCCTGCAGGTAAGAGCAAGGGCAAAGGAAAAGACAAGGAAAAAGCATGATATGGGATACTCTTGCTTTTAACCATGATGATATGAGATACTCTTGCTCTGGTGTGGCTTGTTTGCATAGGTATTATCGGGCGCTGGGGGGGGGAGAAGCTGAGTATTTTGAAAGACTCTGCTGGGAATGCCTTCTCGGATGTGAATAAAAGTAGAGCATTTTTTCTTATTTGCAGGTATGCCTGGCTGTGGAGGATGGAGGTCGACATATATAGGAATTGTTTCAACAACGGGTAGTAACGTTGTTCCTTTACCCTTTTCAGTCATAGCAATGTAGTGGGAGCTGCAACATTCACGTGTTTTAACTTTGTCAGAGCACTTTGAAAAAATGGTCTGTTGTATCTGGAAAGCTGATGTTGCGTGTGAAGATTTCATACAAGCTTTATCCAAGGAAATCTGGCTCTCAAAGTTAAAAAAGCGATGCCTTATCGATTTTCGAACAAGCAATCCTGTTAGGGATCTGGCTCTCGAGATTTGGAGAGCGTTGCCGTTTCGATTTTTGAGAAAGCAATCCTGGTGGGAGTCTGGCTTTCAAGATTCAGAGAGTGGTGCCTCTTCCATTTTTGAGAAAACAATCCTGGTGGGAGTCTGGCTCTCGAGATTCGGAGAGCGGTGCCTCTTCAATTTTTGAGATAGCGATCCTGGTGGGAGTCTAGCTCTCGAGATTCGAAGAGCGGTGCCTCTTCAATTTTTGAGCAAGTAATCATGTTGGGAGTGTTTTCTCGATGTGAGTAAAGGTTGGGCATTTTTGCCAGTTCTGCCTTACCACGGAGCACAGAGGCTGACACACATAGGGACTTTCCAGTTACCAAGCAGTGGTGCTGTTCCTTTACCCTTGTGGGTAATGGTATGGTAGATGGACCTTCAAAATTTATGTGTCTAAACTTTGTTAGAGATATTTGGCAAAGTTATCTGTGGTACCCGATGAGCTGATGTTGCGTGTGGGGATTGTCGATATATTTTACTCAAGAAAATATGCTTCTCGAAATCCGGAGAATGGTGCCTCTTCGATTTTTGAACAAACGGCCATGCTGCCATTTCTTTTATAGGGGCACCAATTGCGTGCAAGAAGTATGTTTAGAGAGTTATTGCTTGTATGAATTTTTCCCTTGTTTTTGTACTTCAGAGATTTATTGGACCTCATTTCGCCCTCATCATTTCTGAAAATGTCTGGCCCATCCGACCGTCGTTTTGACTTGAACTTTGGTGCAGAGGCAACCAGGTCTCCTCAAGACAACATATGGCGCCCATCCTTCTTATCCCCTACTGGTCATCTTACCGTTAGGGACTCTGTGATAAAGAATGATATAGCTGTTGCGGTGGTGGCTAGGAACCTTTTCACTCCCAAAGATAACAAACTATTGTCCAAACGGTCTGATGAGTTGGCTGTTAAGGATTCTCTGGCTCTTAGTGTTCAGTGTGCAGGTTCTGTGTCTAATATGGCCCAACGCCTATTTGCTCAAACCCGCCAAGGTGAATCATTGGCGGCTGAAGTGATAAGTCTCAAACAGGAGATTAGATAGCTCAAGCATGAGAATAAACAGTTGCACAGGCTTGCATATGACTATGCTATAAACATGAAGAGGAAGCTTGATCAGCTGCAGGAATTTGATGGTCAGATTTTACTTGATCATCAGAGGACTATAGGGTTTGTATCGCGCTTGACCAAGCCTGAAACTACAAGTAAGCTTCAAGTGAAATTGATACATTACCTTATGCATCTCCACCGGTTAGAAATAACACTCCTGGATGGAGGAAAAGTACATCAAGAGAAGATGCCACATCTACCTATGAGATAGATAAGGCAAGTAAAAATGATACCACACTTCGGTACTTAGAAGTTTCGTGATTACTCAATGGCTTGGATCTTGCAAGTCCCCAATCGAGAAACTTCCCTCACTCGAGAACTTAGGGGAGCACTATTTGTATCGTACTTGACCAATCCCGAAACTACTGAGCACCGGTTAACGTTATACCGTCAAGGACCCATAAGAGTTTCCCTCCAACCAGGAGGCCAATCACAGTGCAACACGTGTCGACATCAAAAGTCAATCATAGCACAACACATGTCAACATCAGAAGCCAATCACAACATGACACGTGTCAATGTCAAAACAAAGCTAGAAACTCTCTTCTATAAAAGGATATCATTCTCCCACGATATTTCCTGATGTCATTTGTATTAAATCATTCACTAATACTCACTAAAGGAGAGCTTGAACCTATGTACTTGTGTAAACCCTTCACAATTAATGAGAACTCCTCTACTCCGTGGACGTAGCCAATCTGGGTGAACCACGTACATCTTGTGTTTGCTTCCCTGTCTCTATCTATTTACATACTTATCCACACTAGTGACCGGAGCAATTTAGCGAAGGTCACAAACTTGACACTTTCTGTTGTATCAGATTCCTCATTGATTTTGTGCATCAACACTTTTCATGATGTATTGAAGGTGATCAAATCGAACACAAAAACTCGAATGCATGGTACAAATATGGCATCTACTACTATTAAAATTAACTGGTCCACTGCAGAAGGGTAGTAAGTTAACTTCAAATGTAGTCTCCACAACTATGGATAGTTATTACCATTTAATGGAAGGTGGAAGACTTTTATTATCGTTTGCTCTATAGGATGCATGCTAAGGTGATGCAAAATTAACGTCTTAAAATGTAACCAATTGTGTTTTAGCAACTGGGCCTATTGTATCAGCACTTAACACCAACTAGCACATGATTTGCTTTAGCATTACTTAGTATCCGCTTTATTAAAGTAATCATATGTTCAAATCTCATGAACAACTTGTTAATCTAAAAATTATGGAGAGAGATTTTGGGTGCATTTAGGGAGTACATTATTCTAGTTAACTTGACTACACTCAAATTTGCATATTGGATGAGTTAATTATTTTCATGTATCATACTAATTCTGGTGAATAAAATTGTTCTCTAAACCTATGTGAAATTGTGAATATCTCGTGCATGCTAGGATATCATATTTACATGGGAAATGATTTCGTACGACTTAATATATATCTAATAAAATGAAATCATTAAATGATATGGTATGTTGCCAATAAAATTGACGAATATGTACATATTACTTGTTACATTATGTGTTCGAGTCTAAAAATGTTGTAATCTTTTTTCACCAGAAACTAATTCTCGGTGATCTCATACCGTTAATCAAACTTAGTTTGTTTTTCCAAAATATAAATATAAATGTACTTCACTACTGAGTTTGAATTTGTATTTATGCAACATATTATTTTCCAAAATACAAATACAAATTCTTCACTATTTGAATTGAACTATTTATGAAATTATATAACATTCAATATTTTTACCTTTTAAGCATTTAAATCCATGTTAACTTTATATACCCTGTTGGAAATGAGAATATGTATATGTTTTCTTTCAAATGGTAGAGAGCGCACGATGATGGCTTTTCACCAATTGAAAACTCATACCTAAACCGTGTAAGAATCATAAATGAATGCCGCGTAGTATATATAAGGAGTAATTAGGTTTTCATCCTTATTTTTACTATTCTATTGATTAAAACCTTATTACTTTTCAATTTTTGATCAAGGTCATTTGTATTAATAATATCATTAATTATTTCAATAATAAAATATTTTTTATTTCTAAATATATTCATTTAATATTAAAAATGTTACAATTAGTATATTTATATTTATGGCTAAATTTTTTATCATATATTTTTATTTTTAGTTTGTACCCATTTTTAATTTGCAACCCTTTTTTAATTTGTACCAATTTTCCTTTCAATTTTAATTTGTACCCATATATTAATTTCTTTTTGTGCCCATATTTTTTACAGTTTTATTTGTATTGTACCCATATTTTTTTATTTATTTGTACCCATTTTTATTTTTTGCTAAATGTACCCATTTTGAAGAATGTACCCATGTTTTGATACAATCACTTTTTGGTTATTTTTTATGAATGTACCCATGTTTACACACACACACACACAATAGTATATTTATATTTTAATATTTTTAATCCCACAAATTATGTTTTTTATTTAAAATCTCATTACTATAAACAACTATAAATTTTAATTTTTAATTTAAAAAATATAGTAACGTACATAGAAATAAATTATCAATTAATTTTAGGGACTTGGATCAAAAATTGAAAACCAACAAAGTTTCAGTCAAAGATTGTTCATAACTAGGGACCGCATCCAAAGTCTCCCTATATATAATATGCTGCATCTATTGCAATAAAAAGTAGTAAGCAAAGGCAACCAAAGATGTCTGGAAACCTATGCTCCCTAGAAGAACTTTCCTCCTCCTTCCAATTCCACAGCAAACCAAGCAACATATCATCCCCTCCAGAACACAAATGCAGCCAACCCCATGCAACCCACTTCAAGTTTCAGAAGTTCAAATCCCTTGCTCATAAGTCAAAAGTGCTTTCAGACAAAACAGTGTTTTTCCACTTTGAGGAAGCACTTTTGAAGTCATCAGCTTCACTGTTTCCTTACTTCATGCTTGTGGCCTTTGAGGCTGGAGGGCTTTCCAGAGCTATGGTCTTGTTTCTCTTGAGCCCTCTAGTGGTTTTGGTTGGTGGAGAGTTAGGGCTAAATATTATGGTTTTTTTGTGCTTTTTTGGGATTAGGAAGGATAGGATGAGGGTTGGGACTGCTGTCCTGCCCAAGTTTTTTTTGGAGGATGTTGGGAATGAAGGGCTTGATGTGGTAATGAGATGTGGGAAAAAAGTGGGAGTGAGTGAGTTTCCTAGGGTGATGGTTGAAGGGGTTTTGAAAGATTATGTTGGGGTTGATGTTGTTGTTGCAAGAGAGCTCAAGGTTGTTGGTGGATACTTTGTAGGGTTGATGGAGGAAAAAAAGACTAACTGTTTGGATCCAAATGTGGTGGTTCTTGAAGAGGTGGTCAAGGAAGATTCTGAAGCCATTGGCATAATTGGTTGTCAAGATAGTTTTTTGCAGCATGAGCAACTCTTTTCTCGTTGCAAGGTTGGTCAATGGTCGTTTTGACTCATCTTTCTTTCTATTTGAAACTCTTTTTTGTTTTCTATATCTTCCCCTATTAACAAAACTAAGTGTAGTGTCCAAATTACTTGTAATTTAGGTGATTAAGAGCATATATTTGTACATCTGAACTCGCTCTTAATTCGAAACTTTTGGGGTTTTGTACTTTTTTTTCCCTTTTAACAATACTCATGTAATTTGTAAAATGCTTATAGCTGATGTAGTTAAAGAGTTTATTTTTGCATGTCTCTATCTATTTATTTGAAACTCTTTTTCGGTTTTGTACTTTTCCCTTTGAAGATAATCATGTAGTTAGCAACACACTTAATTCAGGTAGTTACGAGCATTTATTTTTGCATTTGAAGAACGTGTTCAAATTTTCTTCCCCAATATCGCAAGTATCAGAACAACACCCATATGACTTTTATTTTGATTTTTCAGGAGGAGATTTACATGGTGACTGAAGCTGAGAAGCAAAACTGGAAAACCCTAGCAAGAGAAAAATACCCAAAACCCTTGATTTTTCATGATGGAAGATTGGCCTTCTTCCCAACCCCACTAGCCACCTTAGCCATGTTCATGTACTTCCCTCTAGGAATTTTCATCTGCATCATAAGATTCCTCACAGGCATGTTTCTCCCTCACAGCATTGCCTGTCCAATCTTAGCCTTCACAGGCGCAATCAACACAATTTCAAAACCCAAATCCCTGATTTCCCCAACAACTGGTTCCCAAAAACAAAGGGGAAGACTTTATGTCTGCAACCATAGAACCCTCCTAGATCCACTCTATGTTCAACTAGCCATTGACAAACCCCTCTCTGCTGTCACATACAGTTTGAGCAAAGTCAATGAGAAAATTGCCCCCATGAAAACCATCAGATTAACTAGGGATAGAGAGAGAGATGGGAAAACAATGGAGAAACTGTTGCAACAAGGAGACCTTGTGGTTTGCCCAGAAGGAACAACATGCAGAGAGCCTTATTTGTTGAGGTTCAGCCCTTTGTTTGCTGAGCTCACTGATGACATTGTTCCTGTGGCCATTGATGTGAACGTAAACATGTTTTATGGTACATGTGCAAGTGGGTTCAAAAGTTTGGATCCAGTTTTTCACTTAATGAATCCACAACCTGTTTACACCCTCCAGCTGCTTCATAAATTGCCTGAACCAGAAACATGCAAGATTGGTGGGAAATCCAGGTTTGAAGTTGCCAATCATGTACAGAATGAGATAGGTAAGACTTTAGGGTTTGAGTGCACCAGTCTCACAAGGAAAGATAAGTACATGGTGTTGGCTGGCAATGATGGGAGCTTGAAGAGCTCAAGGTGAATCTTTGGAGAGTAACTTACATGTCACATGATGTTTTGATGTTGTGGTGGCGGTGTACCAATGACATGTAAGTCATTATCAAGATGTGATGACTAGATCTATGGCATTTATATGGTGAGAAAATATCATAATGTAATGCAAGTAAGCATCAATTAGGTATATATCAATTTGGAATTTGTTTCAAGTGTTCCAGACCACCAATAATCCAACTGATCCAGAACCATCAGTGGTCCAAGTGATCCCACCCATTACTGCGACCAATGATTTTGTAACCAGTGTGATTAGTTAACATTATCCTCTCTCCTAAATAATCATGTAATTGGGTTGTATTATATATGATAAGTTGTTTTTTTTTTTTGTTGCACAAACGACATTAAACTATCAATAATGTAGTTCAAATTCAACAATGCTAGATTTATTATTTTTATTATAAATTAGGAATAAATCAATTTTCTTTTAGTAGTCGATCCTATTATACACACTAGCATTTTATTCTTTACTTGTAATTTTATTTTTAATTTTGCTTAATATATTTTTTTATTTTAAAGAAAAAAACTTCCCAGAGTAGTTTTATTTTGTTTAAAATTCAAATATCCCATAAACTAAATTGTTTTACTTTAAAAACTCTAATGAAGGAAGGGGCATTCTTTGGTGTTTTGAATAACTCACCCATTTTGACATTCTGGCTTTATATTACAGATAACTAAATGGTATGAAAATCCCATCAAATTGTTTGCCATACCTCTTTTTTCAAATACTGCAATGATATACAGATGCAAGAGAATCTCCAATCCATGGGTGGTAAATGTTTACAAATAAAACTACACCTAAATTCACATGGTGTGAGTATAATGTTTGTGTGATATCTTGTACCAATAAGAATATTTGGACAAAAACTTTCACATATCTTTGACATGAAACATCACGATATCGGCATACCTATATCATATTTTTTTCTCCATACAAAGCAAAGAGAGAAAAATACAACCGTTCACAATAAATTAACTTGAAATCCAAATATACATTCCGAACAACATATTACACCTCTCAAAAATAAAAATAGAGGCATAAAGAAAATCATACACTTGACATTGTAATATTGAACTGAAATATCACCGGGATGATAACCCTTTCCATATAAATCAATTTCTCTATTTCTTGGAGATGCTCTATAGCCTTCATCACATCTTAGATGTTGTTAAGGAGAGATTTTTCCAAGTACCAAGTATTTAAGAGGTACTTTACATGTCATAATAAAAATGGAGAAAATGATATATTTTTTCATAACTGTCCACTTATTTTATGACACATAAAGTACTCGTTTGAATACTGAGCATTTGCATAAATTGCTCATTGTTAAGGCCTTGTTTTTGTCTGTCAAGAATTCAATGCTCCTACTGCAACTACCAACCCCATACGTTTCAATTTCATTTTTTTGATACATTTTCTACTTCATTCCCATTAATATGATATGATCGATCGATCACCTCAATTATCTTTTTAATTAATCTCTTTCTTATCAGGTTTGCTTTGAATATGAAAGGATAAGAATAGCATTCCATATTTTTTGTTAATCTTTTGATACTTTGCAATGTCATAAAAATTCAAGTTCGAACCGGAAAAAGAACCAAACTCTTACCCAAGTGATGGACATGTCAGTTTTAGTAACTATGTGCTCTTTTGGAAGTGATTTTAAACTAACTTATAGTGTTTTTGATAAAAATGTTTTTGAAATCAATCCTTAGTAAAAATCTAAGTATATCATAAAAAAACACTTTAAGTGATTCCGGTAAAAAGCAATTATCTAGAGCTTCTTCTAAAAAACACTTAATTCAAAATTAATTTTACCAAAAGTGCTTTTAGTTATTTTAAAAGTACTCTCAAACGTCACACTAAAAAGAAAAAAAAAATCAGAGTATGATCAATTTGAGAATAGGGGTTTTAAAAAATAGATTCGAATTATGATATGTTTATAATGATAAAAATAGAATTAAGACATTTGTAGTTAAGCTTATATCAATGCGTACATATCTGGTTGGAGTTTGTTTCATGTGATCCAGACCCACCAAAGTCCAAGTGATTCAGACCAACCAGTGGTCCAAGTGATTCAGACCCATGGCTCATTGACTCTCACCAATCATTTTGTAAACAATGTGATTTAGGTGACTTTATCCTCTTGTTAAATAATCATGTAATTGGTTTTCTTAAGAAAAATGTTATTAACACTCTAAAAATCTCAATTTACACTTCTTACGGTGTATTTTTTCTTTCTTAATATAGAAAGTTTGGAGTGCGAAAAAAGAATTTTTTTAGTACTAATAACAATTCTCTTTTTTAAATAGGAAAGAAAATGGTTACAACGAGAAGCCTCTTGGGTAAGAACTATTACAAAAGTCCCAGAACCAAGTAGCACGAGTTTCAAAAGGAAAAGAGAACCACCAAAATTGAGTATCTAACCAAAGGCGATCAACACTGGCCAAAGCATCCGCAACAAAATTGGATTCCCAATAAATATGCCAAAATGAGGGATCTTGAAAGTTGCAGGCAATTTGCTGAATATTAGAAACCAAAGTAGACATGTACCAGGGATGAAGATGGATGTAATTGAGTTGAATCATATAACTATATGTTAGTTTATTTTCATTATTTTACATACAAGCGAAGGAGAGGGATGTTCCAATTATAATCTCATGTGTCAGTTTACATATTACGTCTTTATTTCATTAACATGCAATGCCATTGCAACGGTATACTCGTGTCATGTAAGTCTTTTTTTTGTCCGTCAAGAACTCAATGACATACAAATGACACATTCACCGACCACTTACTAGGAAAAAGGTTGTAGTTCCTACTCCTCAAACCCCACGCTTTTACATGTGTTGTATTAGGGTTGGTTTGGAATTTTGGTGCTTTAAGAAAAAAAACATCTTATTAAAAAATCTGGAATATTAAATGAGTTTGGTAAAACAAAACAAAAAGTGTTTTTTAAAAAACTGCTATCAATAAAAGTAGAAAAGTATAGAAAAGCAGAAATGGGTTCTCCTCTGCTTCTAAAAAGTGCTTTTCTTTTTCAAAACATAATAATCAATGTTCATTTAATGAACTTTTCAAATGGCAAGTATACCCCTATATGTTTTTCAAAATCACAATCTTTGCCCCTACATTATTGTCTTTGACAATTATAGGATAATAGAAAGGGGGAGGTCGGCAGTAATGAGAGAGATAAGAGAGAGATTTAATTGTGAGGTGTATGTTGTATCACCCCCATTGTGCCTTGATTTATAGTAATATGATAGGTAAAATCCTTACTCCTTTAGGATTACAACTCTAATAGGAATTAGACTACTAAAAGGAATATAAAAGATATCCCTAGATACATTAGTATTTACACAATCACATTCCTATTCCAAATATGACTGCAACACTCCCTCTTGAGTGTGTAAATACTCAACAAACTATTGCATCAGATCTTCAGCAGATACGGTAGAATAATTGATGAAGTCGACGACACAATAGGTGAATGCAAGTCTCAAATTTAAAGAAAGTATGCATTGGTAGTAAAACTCACAAAACCTCGCTATGATAAAACTCAAGGTATGGGAAAAACCCATAAACTAAGGAGAAAAGTGAGAAGTATGCATAATGTCTAAAACAAACGTCAAATATGATGAAAGTAGTGAACTCAACAAAGTATGATCATCCCAAGATAGGTGCCTCATCAAAACCTCATTAGGTAGCAAAAACCCAGTGGCAAAATTGCTCCTAATTGTAGGAAAAAAAGTACATTAAGATCAAGTGAGTATGCTTTTGGATACTCCCCCTGAGTTAGACATAACTTCTAAATAAGAGAACTAAAAGCGATTCAACTCAGATAATTTATGCATACCGATTCCGTGGACGAGCTTCTAAAAAGTAGACTTGGGCAATGACTTGGTGAAGAGATCGACCAGGTTGTCTTGGGAACAAATTTGCTTGATTTTAATGTTCTGATGTTGTTGTTGCTGGTGAAAATAAAAGAACTTCGGCTATATGCTTGGTAGACCTCCAAGATATAGCGTTGTCTCCAACGGTAAAGACATAGCCTGTTTGAGAATGTGCCCTATGTGGGTCAGACAGATATACAGCATCTGTGTAACCAACAAGGCGAGAATCAATTCGAGAACTGAGGGGGTGGCAACACTCGAAGATTCACAGGTATAGAACAAGCCCAAATCGGTCGTACCCTTTAGGTAGCGGAAAATGTCTTTAACACCATTCCAGTGCTTGCGTGTAGGCGCATTGTTGTATCTAGCCAAAAGATTAACAGCGAATGAGATGTCGGGTCTAGTGCATTGAGTCAAGTAAAATAAAGCCCCAATTGCACTTAGGTATGGAACTTAAGGTTCCAAAATCTCTTCCTCATCTTCCTTTAGATGGAAGGGATCTCATTTAGCATATAAAGTCCGAATAACCATAGGTGTACTTGAATGCTTCACTTTATTCTTATTCAAGCGTCGCAACACCTTCTGGGTGTAGTTTGATTTATGTACTAGGATTCCATCAGAACAATGCTCGATCTCCAGACCAAGACAATATAGAGTTTTCCTAAGATCTTTCATCTCAAATTATGATTTCAAGTGAGCGGCAATTTCCTTAAGCTCTGTGGGAGTTCCAATGAGGTTCATGTCGTCGACATAAACTGCAACGATTGCAAATCCGGAATGTGACTTCTTTAAGAACACGTACATGCATAATTCGTTGTATATTCACTCAGATGGTTATACCACATCCACCCGAATTGTTTCAAATCGTAGAGTGGCATTCTTAATCTAATATAGAGAGCGTTCGGTGGTCTAGAACTATTTGAACCAGTCAATGGAAGTCCTTCTGGAACTTTCATGTATATTTTTGTATCTAGATCCCCTTAGAGATACGCGGTTACCACGTTCATAAGTTGCATATTTAGTTTTTCCGAAACTACCAAATTGATTAGGTAATGGAATGTTATAACGTCCATTACAAGGGAATACGTCTCCTCGTAATCAATCCTAGGGCGCTGAAAAAAGCCTTGCACCACGAGGCGTGCTTTGTATCGCACTATTTCATTCTTCTCATTACATTTCCTCACGAAAACCCACTTGTAGGCAACGAGCTTCACATGTGGTGGAGTAGGAGTTACGGGCCCAAACACCTTACGTTCCGCAAGCGAATCAAGTTCAACCTGGATTGCTTGTTTCCAATTTAACCAATTTGTTCTACGTTGACATTCATCAACGGAATGTGGTTCAATGTCATCGCTAAGCATGATGTTAGTAGCTATTTAGAACGTAAATGCATCGTCGACGATCATCTTATTTCGATTAAACCTTATCTAAT